GAGAGATCCTGATATATGTGTGTAATATGTATGAGGTACCCATCAGTAACCCAGGTTTTAAATGGTTTTTCCCCTTTATTATTATTCACATGTGTTATTTATCATTGAAGTCTGTTTCATTTTTGTATCATTCCAAATCTCCATGATTGTGCCAACCTCTCAGAGGTCAGGACTTTACCAAATGTCATTAATCCCCCAGAAGCACAGCACTGTCCAAAGCTCAACTCTCAGGAGCAAAATTTAAATCAGAGGGATTATTGTGAGCACTAAGTAACCAAAAAACTAATACTAAACTACAGAGCTTGGATTTATGAATTGCACATACAGGCAGTCCCCGGGTTACGTACAAGATAGGGACTGTAGGTTTGTTCTTAAGTTGAATTTGTATGTAAGTCGGAACTGGTACATATTGTAGGGGAAACTCTACCCAAACATTTCTCCAGAGCTCAGTTTTATTCTCCCACACCTCACTTCCCTCAGTCCTTTATTCTCAAGCTGAGGTGTCTGCTGAGAAAAGCCGCTCCGCGTCTCCCTGGTCTGCTGGGGGGAAGCAGCTAGTGCGGGGTTGCCTCACCCTGTTTGTAAGTAGGGATCTGATGTAAGTCGGATCCATGTAACCCGGGGACTGCCTGTATTTAAAAAGAAGATGTTCTTACTTATGTTGAAAATAACATATGATGTTGAAATGGAAATCCTTTTTTTTTTTTTAAGTAATGTACTTTCACCATTTACAGTTTGCTGCTTTTATTTTTCTCAGTGCAATAGACTTTTGTATTTGTGGCTAGTCAGTTTCACATTCTGATTTCCATGTGCTAGCACAGAGCTGCAGTGTGTGCGATGCAAAGCCTGCAGAAGATTGGTTTTAAAACGCTATTTTTAAAAATTTGTTGCAGGAATGGTGCAAGATCCAAATCAGGCATCAAGTCCTCACTCTGCTAGAGACTTTAGAAACATGGAAGAGCTTACAGTCTGAGTTAATGATTGTGACGGGGCAGCATCGCCCCGCACCGCAAATCCCGCCGAGCAGGTGCTGCTCGGCACCCGGGAGGAGGCAGCCCGGCGCTGCGTGGCGTGTTCGCATGCCGCACCGGGGCTGACAGAGCCGGCCGACACCGCGGCCGGGTGGCAGTAAGGGGGGAGGGGTGGCGGGTACTGTCGGGCGAGACTGGTAAAATGATCAAGGGTAACAAGTGGATGAAACAAACAAATAGCTAGGATACTGGCATGCAGCCAAGGGGAACAAAGGACTGGAGCAAAGTGCTTCAGAATCAAAACTAGCCAGTCAGCCAGTTTGGATATTTCTGATTCCTTGCCAGGGTACCACGACAGGGCACTTCTGATTTACTGAGGTAGAATGAATCCCTGGATCTAAAATGATCAAGGGTAACAAGTGGATGAAACAAACAAATAGCTAGGATACTGGCATGCAGCCAAGGGGAACAAAGGACTGGAGCAAAGTGCTTCAGAATCAAAACTAGCCAGTCAGCCAGTTTGGATATTTCTGATTCCTTGCCAGGGTACCACGACAGGGCACTTCTGATTTACTGAGGTAGAATGAATCCCTGGATCCCAGCAGGTCTGGAGCTGCCTCAGCAGTAAATGCTGATATATTTTCCATTAGTGTAAATGTATTGGAAAATCCCAACTCTTGTCACCCAGAGATGGAACCACTGTGTCAGGCACTGTCACACAGAGCCATAGTCAGCTTTGGGAAAATGAGCTTTGATCTTTTTTTGAAACTGTATTAGCAAAGAGTGCTAGAGGCATGGGGATGTCTCAGCCTCTTCCTTTCTCTGGATCCTTCAGTCCCTTCCCAAGCTGTCCCTAGAGCAAACTCTGGTCCCGGACATGGGTTAGCAGGTAACTCATGGGGTACGTCTGAGGACAAGGTTTCTAGAGACACCTCTAGGGTGCAGTCAAGACCCACCCAAAGTACGGTGAGCCAACAGGTCAGTGCAGCAGCTAGCACATATCTAATGCAATATTAATCATTATCAGGATAAGCCTGAGAATTTTAGAAACACTGAGGGAGAGAAAACATTGAGCCCTTGTGCTGTCAGCTTGGCAACTCTGAGGATATGCCAGTGGTGTGAAAGTATGGGACACCCACTCTCAGACCTAAGTGTCCTGCCCTCGGGACCATCAATCCACTAGTTAGTCTTTATTCTGTGTAATATTTTTAACTCATGGTCTCATTGGCTGAGTTTGGTGTCATTCAGTGTGTTTGTACTCTGACAAGCTACAAAAAAGGCACCGTGGGGCACCCATATTGTCATTTCTCTCAATAATTTCTATTCCAAAATAATGCTAAGAAGAAGAAAAATAGATTTGTCTAGTTCTTAGCCCTGCATCTGTAACCTGTGTCGATTGGGCTTTCCCTGTCCTTATGCTAATTGGCTGTTTGCTCCAGCTCTTTCTGCCTCTCTCTCTCTCTCTAGCACAGTCTCTTCTCCCCCTCACCTTAGTTTCCTTCCACACCTTCCCCTTTCACCCTCATCTTTCCTGCCCCATTCTCTCACCCCCTGCCCTTTTTTTCCCATTTAGTTGATCCGTTCCTAACAGCTCCCCTGTCAAATTCAATCAATCAGTCCTGGCACTAACATTTGCTGCCATCACACGGATCACTGTGAATCCTGACCCTTCCCCCAGCCTGTGTCTGTCCGGCCTATTGACTGTCAGCTCTTCATGGCAGGGATAATCTATTAGGATATGTTTACACTACAAAGAAAAGTCGGAAAAAGATTCGCAAAAAAGATGAGAGTCATTTTCTGCTTTTCTTTTGGAAAAACCTCCTCTTTCAACACATCCCTTCTTCCTTGTGAAACGAGGTTTACAGCGATAGCAAAAGAGTGCATCCACTTTTCTGAAATTTTTTTTAGAAAAGCGGGCGCATTGCTTGGATGCAGCATAGCTTTTCCAGGATACCTCCAGTGTCCCGGAAAAGTGCCTCAGTCTAGATGTAGCCTTACTCTCTGTTTGTACGGCACCTAGCACAATGGGGTCCTATCTGGTTTGGCCCTGAGGCATCACTATCATAAACATTATTAGTGATAATAAAAATAGTGATGGGTTTGGCCTGACAATGGGGGGAAGTTTCTCCCTGACCCCTCTTTTCTTAGTGGGTGGTTTATGTCCTGACACTCAACAGGAAATAGTGCTTCTATTTTATTTATCCTATTTAACAGAACTTGGGAATATTTTCATTATTCACATAAACTTTGAATTCTTTTTTGAATTTTACTAAGCTCTTAGCCTCCAGACTTTGGGATAGTGACTTCCCAAAGTGTGATAGGTGTGTTTTGTGTTGTGTAAAATGTATTGCCTCTTACCAATTTTAAATGTGTTCCCTTTCATTTTCAACAAGGATCCCCTAGTTCTTGTGGAAAGAAAAGCTTTCCTCCTTTGTGCCACTAAATATATTTTTAACCTCTGTCATGTCCTCACTAAAGGAATGAATCTTGTGATCTGCTCTTTGCATGGCATTCTTTCCACGTCTTTCATCTCTGTACTCCTTCGATTGCTACCATGTCCTATTTGAGTTAGGGTGACTTGAAGTGAACTCGATGTACTGGAGAGAGTACCATTGCTTTAGAGAATGGCCTTCTGATACTGACAGCATTATCTATCTGTCTGTCTGTCTGTCTATCTAAACAAAAAATGCTACAAGAAAATAAAATACATTTTAAAAAACAATTAAAGCCCTGTAACTAACAAATCAACTAACCCACAAAATAAAACAAACACACACCCAGTTAGAGGGAATTTCCCCCCCAAAAGGAGATGAGCTAGAGATTCCATTAAGTTCACGAGGGATTTTGCTATTCCTGTGTTTTGACTGTTGCTTCATATTGATCAGAAGATTTTGTTGAGCCATCCATAGTGACACCCCTGCCCACTCACCTCAGCCGGTCTTTTCCCTAAGTAGTTATGCTTTAAATTTGAACTGTTTATATGGAAATTCAATATTCCTTACAATGAGTATTGCTTACGATATTTTTCAACATTGGCTACCATCTGCTATAATGTTTGTCCTCTCACTTAACTTTGGTAGGTCCCTTGGAAATTCCTCAAAGTTTTCTCTGATTCAACTAATCTACATCATTTTGTGTGGCAATATTTGCCACTTCACTGTTCACCCCTTTTTTGCAGGCTATTGGTAAATACACTGAAGAACACCAATCCTAAAACCAGAATCTGGTACAAACTGTTATGACCCCATCGACTTCCCTGCCCATTATGCATGTCGGTCCCATATTCTACCATGTTGAAAACCGACCATTTTCATACTGCTCTTTGTTTTTTGTTTCTTAGCCAGCTTCTGTATACGACAGTACCTTATCTCTTCACTCATGAGTTCCTAAAGTGAGGAAGGGCTTTATCAATAGCATTTTGAAGGTGTAAAACACTTTATTCACAATTTTGAGGCAATGCTCAAAGAATTCTAATGGAGCAGGGAGGCCAGAGTTTTCCTTTACAGAAGCTATGATGTTTTGTGCCTGCATATCCTATTCATCTGAGTATTGCTAAACCTAATCAAAGAGAACAAGAAAGAGTTAATATGGGAGAATTCTATTTCTGGATGACAAAGGATGACAACTTTGCCAGAATTGCTGCTTAGTAATTCCTGGAAAACTATCTTACAGTCTTTAGTGGAGTGAGCGCAGGACTGGGCACAAGGAACCTTGACATTCCAACCCCTCTTCTGAGACTGATTCACTGGGCCAGTTTCATCACTAGCACACACTACTACAAGTCTACTGTTCTGGACAGTGGTCTGCCCACTTATGTCAAGCATAAATTTGAATCGCCGAGTCACCTTGAGCAAGTCACTTAACTTCTCTGCCTAGTTTTTTCCATCTATAGAGTGGGAATAATAAAACTTCCCAGCTGCTGTAAGGATCAATTAGGGGATGTTTGTTCAGTGCTCTGATGAAGTAAGTGCTTTAGAAAGGATAAATATTAGTAGGAGTTTATTGCTTTCTCTCTCTGTCCCCTTTCAGGTTCTTCATCATCAAGGAGAGTTTTCTGCTGTACTATTCTGAGAGTGAGAAGAAGAACTTTGAAAGCAATAAGTACTTCAATATCCACCCCAAGGTGAGCACTCCCCAGGGATTTCCTCTCTGACTCCAGCTGGCCCCTCACAAGCACATGGAGAGCTGAAGAGGCAGCTTCTCTGACTCCAGCCTTGTAGTTAGATCCTGAGGAACCACCAAGGCACTTGGGGATGTGGATTAACCTCTCCTGAAAACTGACATGAATTCAGTTTCCCCACTAGCACACCACTTGAATGGTCTCTCTGATGCTAATCAGGGGGTTTATTGCTTTACTAATCACTAACTATAAATAATTCATAGTTACATGCATGAAGCCCACAAACCACCCACCTGCAGTATAGGAAAGAGGACTCAGGCTCTTTCAGCTCCCTGGGCTTTGTCACGTGAGCTGAAGCAGAACATGCATTTCTCTTAGTGGGAACCATCAGTCTCTTATTCTCTAGGCCCTCCAGTCTCTTCAGGACAGAATAATCCCATGCACTTTAGCTGGTCTAATTCCATCAGGCCCTGGGTCACAGTGACACACGGGCCATGGATATGTTATGTGCCTGGGAAACAAAGCCCCACAGGGAAAAGAGGCTAGAGGGACAACAAGTGGAGACACCACCTCGTCATTTGAGCGCACTCCAGTAGAACTCCCCATTCCCTATCACCTGCGCATCCTGGCCACCTCCCTCCCCGTGCAGGTGGACAGGATGAGACTCCCTTAGAAGTCAGTTAATGCCTCTCTTTAATCCGCTGCAGGGAGCTCCCTGGGTGATGTGAAGCTTGCCTGCTTACTAGGACTCTGCCTAGTGCTTGTGTGATGCTTCCAGCACAGAGGACGGGCTGGCAGCCAAGTCCGGGGCTAGGAATCAGGGTCCAGTTCCTGATCACTTATGATTATGCCTGGCAGTTGCTCAGTGAAGTTTTACTGACTGAGTTAAATTCTCTGGTTCATCACCAGGGTGTCATACCTCTGGGGGGCTGCATTGTGGAAGCCAAAGAAGAACCCAACATGCCTTTTGCCATGAAGATCTCCCATGAGGACTTCCATGTGCGTGAACTTTTCTCTTTTTCAGGTCAATGAACATGGTGTGGGTGCAAGGTGCTGGACTGACCACCCTGGGTATTATTCTGCAACCCTCCCTTCCATGGGCCACTGCCTGCCCAGTGTGCCTCAGCACCCCCCATGCTGTTTCCCTGGAGCTAAAGCAGCAGAATGGGCTAACAAGAGGGAACAATTAATACCAGGAACTGCAGTGGTGGCACTTTCTGTGGTACCTGGAACCTGACTAGGGACAGGGGTAGTTTGTGCGCGATGGCGGACGTGTGCATGTGCTCACACCAGCCTCTCTCATTTGATTCTTCTTTTCCAGGGTAACGTTGTGCTGGCAGCAGAGTCTGAATTTGAGCAGGCTCAGTGGCTGGAGATGCTGCAGGAGTCTGGAAAAGTGTAAGCATGGGGGGAGGGGGGAGGGGCGTTATTTCCATTATTTAATTCTCTTTGCAGTACTGTATTGTGGGAAGGTGCTGGGCATTTGAGGAGAACCAGGCCCAACAAGAGTGACAGTGTGGAAGAGCTGAGATGCTCCTCCCTAGCTAGGCAAATCCTTTTTACCTCGGCAATTTCTGCTCCCTACCAAAACCAAAGCGTTTTGAAGTTCAGACAAAGCATCCTCCATCATACTAAAGGTCTGGTTGCTAACACACCCCTGGCTATCCTCAGGACTGGAAGTGATGAAATGCCACATGGTCTCTGCTGTCCTGCTCCTTCTCCTCAGGTGTGGAGGTCCTTTCACAGAATCAGTGCAGTTCTGCTGTGTGAGGAGAGCAAGATCCTGCTCGAGGATCATGCTTCACAGAAGCTCCCTGCACCTCAGGGAGAAGGACTTTTGGGTGAGATGGGGGCAGGATGAAGGAGACCTAGGGCTGAAATCACGACTATGCCATGCACCAGTCAAGCTTCCCTGTGGAGACGGAGCACAAGTGTCACAAGGGCTACTTCACCCTGAGGCTTCAATAGTGGCTCTAGACCTGTGGCCTTGGGGTCCTTTTGCCCAGATCCCAGCACACACGCTGTGCAAGGGCAAGGAGTATTTACTTCTGCAAAAGAGTCGGCATTTCCTGAAATCAGGATGTAAAGTAAATCCCCTGATAGCATCTGTTGTCTCAGGATTTTCAGCCCCCTTCTAGAGAGCCTCAGTGCTGTAGGCATCTGCATGTTTGGTTATGCATCTTGCTGGAACCTTGGAAAGATTTAAGGCTAGTCCAGCGCTAGTCCTAGCATGATCTCACTGCTAAGCACTTAGAGGATGGAAGCCACTGGCTCTAACACCAAAGCATGTTTCCCTTAGGTCTTGCCGTGACATCAAAAGGCAGGGGCTGGAGAGAGAACTGAGTGATGGGGACTCTCCCAAAGCATATGGGAATTTTCAGAACCTCCCCAGCCTGGCTCAGCTCAGCTGCTTAAAGGAAATAGCACTTTGCAGCCTTTCCTCAAGGACCTAGTACACTGGACGTAGTCCCTTGGGCCCCATTAGAAAAAGGCTTCTTATTCAGCTGAGTTGATCTAAGGATATTAGCATGTGCAGATGGGACTGCTCATTTCTGTGAAGAGGGAAGTGTTCAGGGGATGGTGGGGTGTGGACGACATATCATAGTCAAGTGAAAAGTGCTCAGGGCTGCATGGAATATGTGCCCAGCTCAGCCCTGGTATCCCGGCACCCCACTCTGAGCTCAGCCCTGCCTATCATCCATGAGGTCTTGGGCACGAGACAACAAGAATTTATCTTTGTGTGAGTTTTTTTGTTTTGTTTTGTTCCACAGTCCCCACTCGGCCCTATCCCTAGTGCAGCTCCCCTTATGCCAGCCACAGCTGGGATGTTAGTATAAATTGATTGGCCATTGGCGTTTTTTTCTCCTGAGTTTCTATCCCTGCTAAGCGCAGGTCCATAAGACTCTGTGGCTGGTATCCCTTGAGAGTAGCACTGGACAGGGACATGGGAGAGAGATTTAAACAAGAATGCTAGTGCAGGCAAAGGGTTTGATACCTTTATGCACTGACCAGAGATGGGCTGGGTTGGGCAGGACAAGGGACAAGATACACCAGACCTAAGACAGATCTCTCGGCTCGTCTAGACAGCATTCCTCTCTCGAAAGAGGAATGCAAATAAAGCAGATCGAAAATGTAAATGAAGCGTGGATTTGCAAATGTCATGGTTCATTTGCATAATCGCATGAGAGCATTTTTTCGAAAAAGAACCTGCACTCTAGACGGGGTTCTTTTGGGAAAAAACCCTCTTTCAAAAGAATCCATACTCCTGAAAAAATGAGGAGTATGGGTTCTTTTGAAAAAGGTGTGGGTTTTTTTGTTTTTTATTTTTTTGAATGAACCCCATCTAGACTGCGGGGGTTTTTTTCTGAAAAAGTGCTCTCACGCCATATTGAGTCAGACCAAAGGTCCATCTAGCCTGGTATCCTGTCTGCCAACAGTGGCCAATACCAGATGCCACAACAGATAATCCTCACATGATTTCTGCCCTCTCCCTTCCCCCTTCCCCGTCACCCACTTCCAGAGAAACAGAGGCTGGGGACACCATTCCTACCCATCCTGGCTGAGAGCCATTGATGGACCTAAGCTCCATGAATCTATCTAGCTCTTTTTTGAACCCTGTTAAATTTCTAGCCTTCACTGCATCCTCTGGCAAGGAGTTCCACAGATTGACTGTGCGCTGAGTGAAGAAAAACTTCCTTTTGTTTGTTTTAAACCTGGGGCTCTTCTTTCTGGGAGACAGGTAGCTTTATCTTTCAGAGTGTGGGTAAGGCAGAGTGACTGTGGGAGGGGCACTAACAAAGAGAGTGCACCAAAAGCACAAGGTCTTATGTGACTTCACTTGCATCTCATGCCTAGAACAACCTAGCCCCCGACTCTGTTCCTCCAACCCTGTGTGTTTGCAGGGGTTGAGAAGGCTGCTAGCACATTTCTAGCAGTGTGGCAGGGCAACCCACTGTGCTGGATGAAAACAGGCTTGCGGCATCCATCTTACCTCCCCGTGCACCATCACTGCAGGAATGATTTGGCGCCGACCTTCACCTAATCAGTTTTTGCATGTCTGTGTGTAAAGGGGAGCAGGGTAACGTGACTTGTTAGCCAGATCAGGAGCTGAGCTGAGCGACAGCCAGAAAAAGGACAGATTGTCCAGTAAATTGAGCAGTGAAGAAAGGGAAAGCTGAAAGAACATTACAGCCTACCTTTCCATAACAATAACATAAGGGAGCATAGAGAGACAAGGGTTACAGTAAATAAAGAAGGCAAATAGGAAAGAAAGAGACAGAAGGGGAGTAACATCCTCTCTCCTGACCCCTTTGTTTGCATTCTGTGTAGATACTGGTACCATTTCTTTACATCTGGAGCAGGTGGAGTGTGCCAGTGTACTGGGGCATAGATCACTAGAATATCAGGAAGATGGGCTAGTCTAGGTTAGTCTAGTGGCTCAGTGAAAATATACTGCTACCCCGGGGGTGTTTGAACTGCTTCACGGTCCTGAGCTTTCATCCTCTAGCTTAGCAACTAAGCCCAAACCCCTCTGATCGATTAAGGACTAGAGTTTATGGCTTCTCAAAGGGAATCCCCCCTCCATTCTGCTGTGGCTAGAAGGACAGCAGCCACGGTGCACAGCAAGTCTTGAAAGCTTCTGAATGTGGAATGGTGCAAAGAGGATAGGGGTCTTCTAGCTCCGACAGGCATTCAGAGGACTCCCCCAATCTGGAAAATGGGTCCATATACCCAGGATAGGGTGCTGTATATTCACTTTTTAGCTGCTTTTTCTGTTTTCTATTGGATTGGTTTAGAAGTGGATCTGGTCCGAAAACAGAGAAAAGTCACAAAAATGTTCATGAATAAATATCTTTTTCAGCAAAAATGTACCAACCCCCCAACTGTGAACAGAATAGCCAGGCTAGTTCTAAAGGGGCTGACCTTACAGGCTGGGATCCTGAGTTCTCATCCTACATCAGGCAAACCTTCCTAAGATCAAATGATGACAAGTGACTGAAGGAAGAGATTGTCAAAAGCACGAGAAGTGGTCAAGCTCCCAACGGCTTTTGATTTTTGGTGGGGGCTGGGTACATTTTAGACCTTTGTGCCTTTGACTGTCTCTCCACGAATAACTTAGTCCTGCTGCAATTTAGTGTGGCCCCTGCAGTTTCTGATTGGCACAGAAAACTTTTAACTGTCATTCTGAAAATGAGCGGCAGCAGATTTTCACAGAACTATTCTGGGTTTCACCAAAGGTCATTGAGCATTTGCAGGGCAGCTAAAGAATCTGCCACTGGTATAACAGTAGGATAGTCCACTGCAGCAGGCAGGCAGGCATGTACCTATCACATCAATTCAGATGAATAAATAAGAGATGAATCGATAGGTAAAGATGATAACGTTGCATGTGGTTCCAATTTAGATGATCCCCTTTCATAGCTGGGTCCGGATCATTGGCCTTTTCCTAAACCTCTTCCTTTCAACTCTTTACCCTACCACTGCAATGCCCTTTTCTAACCTTTGCCCTCTCCTCTGTCTCCTTCCCCTTCTGGGAGTCATCCATATCCCTTCAGCCTCCTCTTTTTTTAGTTTTTTCCCCTTGAACATCCAGAAGTTGCTCTCTACCTAGGTTGAAAGCCAACAGGAACTAGGCTGAAAGCCCATAGGAACTATACAAGCCTGGATCCCTTGAATGATTGGTTGCTGAATAGCACCATCCCTAAAAATAGCAAAGGAATTCCACATTTGAACTGAAATACCTCACATGGATGATTTGAAAGTAAAAGGGATTATTATACAACAGTGTGATGCGAAAGAGGCACGTGCAGAGCCTCGTACAATAGAGCCATGATTTCACATCCGGATCCCTAACTGCTATCACAGTAATAATCATTCTAAGTATTGCTCCAGACCAAATTTAAATTCTATTATACATTGTATTCCCGCTGCCAGAAATAGGCTGATGCTCACAGGGCCAACCATCATTAGGGAAAGCATGCTGGTAAGCTGTCTGCACTGTAACTGATTTACAAATAAACAGCAAATGCTGGGGGAAGGGGAAGGAAACACTTGTAATGTTGCAAACATAAGAGTGTAGTTTGCAGATTGTTTATTATACACTCTTATAATTAATAGGGAAGTTATGCATGGTACTATTTTGTTACAAAATTAATGCAGTTCAGAATCATGGCACTGTTTCTCCTATCTAGCCCAAGAAAAAATGTACAGGCAGTCCCCGGGTTACATGGATCCGACTTACATCGGATCCCTAATTACAAACGGGGTGAGGCAACCCCGCACTAGCTGCTTCCCCCCAGCAGACCAGGGAGACGCGAAGCTAGCGCCCCCCACAGCAGACCAGGGAGACACGGAGCGGCTTTTCTCAGCAGACACCTCAGCTTGAGAATAAAGGACTAAGGGAAGTGAGGTGTGGGAGAATAAAACTGAGCTCTGGAGAAATGTTTGGGTAGAGTTTCCCCTACAATATGTACCAGTTCCGACTTACATACAAATTCAACTTAAGAACAAACCTACAGTCCCTATCTTGTACGTAACCCGGGGACTGCCTGTACTAATAATGCTTAGCTCTTACCGCCCTAAGGCTCACTAGGTTAAATAGTCTCAGATGGATAGCCATGTGAGCCCTGGTCTACACTAAGGAGTTATTTCAAAGTAACTCCCCTTATTTCAAAATAACAAGTGGAGCGTCCGTTCTATTTTGAAATAACTCCTGCTTTCCATGAGGAATAATGCTTATTTTGAAATAGTTATTTTGAAATAGTGGTAGTGTAGACGCTCCACTACTGCTATTTCAAAATAACTACTCCCCAGAGTCATTCAAAATAATAACTCCCTAGTACTTCCTTGGGCTCTAAGTCGAGATCGCATGTCCATATTAAGGGAACCTGCCTTGGACTAATTTCAAGGCTTCCCTGTAGTGTGGACATGCTATTTTGAAATAGGAAGCTTCAGGGGGTAGCTGAATTAGTCTGTACAAGATAAACTTAAAAAACAACAAATGGTCTGGTAGCACTTTATAGACTAACAAAACAAAATCGATGCCGATGGATTGGTAAAACACTGAGTTTTGAGTTTAGGATGTGCAGACCCAAAATAAATAGGGGAATGGCTCTCCCCTATTTATTTTGGGTCTGCACATCCTAAACTCAAAACTCAGTGTTTTACCAATCCATCGGCATCGATTTGACAGCCCAGTTCATGCTCTACTATCCCTGAGGAGGCTGGAGCCACCGTCAGAAGCTGCACATGTTCTGGACAGGTTTGGGGGACCGCTAAGATTAACTCTACATTGATGGGAGGGCATCTCTAATGGGTGCCTTAGGTTCATATGTGATATCTGGAAAATCTCTTTCAATTGATTGTTTGTCAGGACATTTTCCAATGCATTTTAGGAGAAGTAATATTTTATTTTTAAAATGAGATAATCCATCAAATACATGAGATTCCATTTGAAGTTGTAGGTAAAACAGAATCCCCTCACTCATTAACTCCCAGTCCTGCTTCCTTCTCAATTCTCTTTATTTCTGTTCATTCTCTCTTTAGGACCTGGAGGAATGCTCAACTGGGAGAAGCCATGATTGAGAGCCTGGAAGCTCAGGGGCTCCAGCTGGCCAAGGAGAAGCAGGAATATTTAGGTTGGCTTGAGCAGTTTTTTGTCCTGGGAAGTCTCTAGACTCAGAAGACCCTAGGGTGGTAGAATCTTAAACAGAACCCTTGTCTCTGCTTCCTGTAGCTGCTGGTGAGGTCTAATCCCATCAGCTGCAAGTCTGTGTGCCTGATTAACTAAAAAAATCCGCAATTTCTATTCAGCAATCAAGGGAGATGAAAATATAAGCAAATACTAGGGGGTTGAGTTCAGGACACTTATTTTAGGTGCTTAAAAGTGTCCAGTCAGTTGTGATCCTCTGGCACCTGATCAATGGACAATGTGACCCTTGTTTTTGAAAAATTTGAGCTTCCTGACTCTGGAAATTAGCATCAGGTAGGGTGTGTCTAGACTACATGCCTCCGTCGACGGAGGCATGTAGTCTAGACACACCCTACCTGATGCTAATTTCCAGAGTCAGGAAGCTCAAATTTTTCAAAAACAAGGGTCACATTGTCCATTGATCAGGTGCCAGAGGATCACAACTGACTGGACACTTTTAAGCACCTAAAATAAGTGTCCTGAACTCAACCCCCTAGTATTTGCTTATATTTTCATCTCCCTTGATTGCTGAATAGAAATTGCGGATTTTTTGAGTTAATCAGGCACACAAACTTGCAGCTGATGGGATTAGACCTCACCAGCAGCTACAGGAAGCAGAGACAAGGGTTCTGTTTAAGATTCTACCACCCTAGGGTCTTCTGAGTCTAGAGACTTCCCAGGACAAAAAACTGCTCAAGCCAACCTAAATATTCCTGCTTCTCCTGCATTCTGGGCACACACAGGTGCTTGTGTGCCAGTTTTAATTTCTCAGGAGTGGCATTTCTTATGATGGCTACAGTTCTGGAGTTGGATTTTTTTTCATCAGGGTTTTTATTCTTACATTGCTGAATCCCCATCTAAAGTCACCCCTGCATTAGTGGTGACATTGTGGGTGATGGTAATTCTAGCCTGGCAGATTATCGGTTTGTGGGCAGGCAAATGGCTCAGTTCACACAAGTGAGATAATTAGTGGTTTCTCTGGGTAACTCCGAGTACTTACACCTTAAGCTAAGCCACCTGGTAAAATAATAATTAATAGGAATACTGCGAGCTATTCTCTGTCAGCCAGCTCCTGCTAATAACCCTTTCATATATTTAGTTATTAAGAAAAAACTTGTTCATTAGAAGGGTTGTTTAAGGTCTGGAATAGGCTTCCAAGGGAAGTTGTGGAACCCCCATCTTTGCTGGCTTCTAAGAATAGATTGGACAAATACTTGTAAAATAAGGTCTAGGGATACTTGGTTCTGCCTCAGTACAGGGGGACTGGACCTGATGACCTCTCAAGATCCCTTCCAGCCCTACATATGTCTACAGTTTTTCTATGGCAATCTGAATATCCAGAACCATTTCTGTTTTACAGTATGTGCCAAGGAAGAGCTCAGTAAATTGCCTGGGATTTAATAGTAGTAACAATAATTAAAGCTCTAAAGCATATGCAGTTTGAAGATTGTAAAGTCGTTTGTAAAGGTTAAAGAATGAATGGAGTGAGGTGGGAAAGTAATATCATCCCCATTTTCCAAAGGGATAAACACAGACCCTAGACAGAGGATAACTTATAGTGCTGGGCAAAATGTTTTGGAAGCAAAAGTTATTTAAAATTGGCTTGTGGGCTTTAAGGATTTTTTTCATGAAAAGCTGGTGCCTATTTCAAACCTTGTTGTTAAATTTTGGGGTGATATTTTTATCAACACCTTTATAGTAATTTTTATTTTAAAAGTTATGGAAATAGTTGCTGATCATTTTCACTTACATCACAGTTCAATAACATTTTCAGTTAAAATGTTGGTGCAAAATATTCCATTTGATGTTCTGCAATGTTGATAGGGTGTTATTAATTACTATTATTTTATTTTATTTTATTTTATTTTATTTTATTTTATTTTATTTTATTTTATTTTACAGGGTGTTATTAATTACTATAATTTAACTTTATTTTATTTTATTTTATTTTATTTTTCAAACCACTCAGATGACTTTGCTTTGCCCACAGCCACACAGTGTTAGTGTTAGTGTTTGTTAGTGTTAGGATAGTTGTTTTTCTTCATAGTTACAGTTCTATTCAATTTAAAAATATATATTTTTTCTGGGAATAAACTATGGGAGGATTCTCTCAAACAAACCCTCTTTCTCCAGGACATTTCCAGACACCTGCATCAGGGTCTCCCTGCTCAGTTTACTTCTTATGGTATAATGCCATTGCCAAATTCTGTCAGGAATGGAACCATAGAGGAATATGGTAGACATGAGAGAGATTCTGCCCATAAGAATATAAGGGGGCCTTAGTGGAAAGACTCATCCCTGAATGTCCTAGGTTAGCAGATTTTTGTGGTTCATGGCCAAACATTGCTTCCATAACCCTTGATCCATAACAGGGATGTTCAGGGTGACTATTCAGTACTGTCACGCTTGGCCATTTTTATTAGACAGCGTTTGTTTTATCTTGCTTTGTTTCCATATAACTGCTGAGGTTTCTGCCTTATTATTAGCATCCTGCTCAACGATCAGTGCCCCATCAATGGTTAGGGCTTTGAGGACAGGAGAGTTTCTGGCCACTGGGAAATCAGGTCAAGACTCGAGGAGGTGCTCATACTGCCTTGTCGCCCTTCCACTGCGACCACCTGTGCTCCTGGAGTGACCATCCATCCCTCACTTTTGGTGTCCAGTCCTCCCCTCAGGCTGGGAATCCACACATATTGGTGGATTGCATCAGGAAGCCAGACCATGCAAGACCTGATCCTCCCAAGACAAGGCAGGAGTTGTAAGAAAGAGGAGAATTGGCATATTGGCAGCAGTGAGGCACATGGGGCAGGAAGCATAAGCTCTTCAGCCTGTAGCATGATGGGGGTTTTGACAGCATCTCCAGCACTCACAGGGGAATAGTGGAAGGGGTTTGGTTTATGGGACAGGATCCAGGGAACAGGAGGGGGAGCAGAAGAGGCTCTCAGAAAGAACAGAGTAATGAGATGCTTATTCATTTGTACTGTCATAGCATCTAGGAGTGCCAGGTGTAGACCTGGACTCCACTGAGTCTAACAATAATAATACCTAGCTCTTAGCTAGTGCTTTTAAACTTTTGTTTATAAAATGCTTTCCATGGGAGACCTGTCTGACAGATGGGGCGACTGAGGCACATAGCGGTGATGTGACTTGCCCCATGGCCCCCAGTAGGTCAGTGACAGACTTAGAAATTGAACCCATTCTGTGGAATCCTAGTCCAGTCTCCTATCCAGTAATGCTTAAAGGTTAATCAGAGTGTGCAGGAAGTCTAGGGACTGACCTTGCTAATAAACCGGTAGGAGTCCAAAGTCCAGTGGAGACCTTAAGAAGGAGCAGGGCTGGGATACTTCATTCACCGCAGGAATATCTCTTAGACTTCAAGCTTTGCAAGAGAATTGAAGGGACATCATAATAGTGTGACCAAGTGTCTTCACAACGTTATGCCCCAGAGATGGAAATGGGACATAGGCGCTATTGTCATCACACTGGATGGCTGGTGGCATCCCTGCTAGTAGCTGATGGTCAGCACAACACAGATAAGGGCAACCTTGGAAAGAGCAAATTTTGCTGACTAGAGAGGTGAAGTGAGCTCAAGAGTGAGCATTAAAGGAAATGAGGGCTAGGCCAGGGTGGCTGGTAGCAGAGATCATGACTCAGGGTGTGGCAAGTGTGTGGCCTGCTAGTGCGGGCAAGGGACAAGGAGTCAAGACAGCTGGGTTTTGTTTTGCCTCTGTAACTGACCTGTGTGAAACTTTGGGCAAGTGACTGAACCTGCCTTTGCTTGAGTTCCTCCAGCAAAGAATTCTTCCAGTTGTGACATGGAGAGAATATTTTCCTTCCCCACATGAGGGTCCCCGCCCTGACATGTGGTAAGAGTCTTAGCAGGAAGACGTCCGAGGGAGCGCCAAGTATTAGTGTTGTTACATATTTGGCAGGAGGAGGAGAATAGAAAATCCCATTAAAGTTGCCTTGGCCTTAGGAAACTCCCAGCTCAATGTGTGCAATGAATAGGGAAGTCTGCTTTCTCCATCTCTGTGTGATCAGGGCCTCGGGAACATCAACATCCCATCGCATTATCGATTGCTTTCCTGCCTGCGTTTGGCCTGTGTTTGTGTGTGTTTGCAGATAAACTGATGGAAGAGACAGAGGAGCTGTGCCTGCAGAGGGAGCAAAAGGAGGTGAGTTCCTGTTCAAAGCCAGTCAAATCATATCCCTTCCTGTCCTTAGGCAATGTGTTGATTGGGGGGGAGGGATTAGCGACATGTGAAGCCCAAAGGCTCCTAGATGCCCCTTGGACAAGTGAAGGGATGACAGTCCTGCTCTTCTCACTGCACCCTCTCACCCGCCTTCATGTTAGCATTTAGTCACACGTAGGAAAGGTTGAAAGTTGTTGTGACAGAGAATAAAAACATTCTCTGAAGAGCCTCTGCAGTCAGGACTCTCTTTCTAGTCCTTGCCTGTCATTAGCACTGCTGCTCTACCTCAGCCTTGACCAGCGGCAGTACCTGGCCCACATTCCTGTCGTGAGCAGAGGCAGGCAGCTATGGGTGAAATTCAAAAGAGATGGGGCAGTGGATTTTCAGTTCCAATAAATAATAATTCAAATGCTGATATGAAACCCAAATTATTGGAACCTTTTCAGCCCCTGATCTCTCACTATATCACCACAAAGACGTTCAAAGATCCCTCCTACTTCACTTTGTCTTCTTGAGGGGGAGAAGGATTCAGAAAGTTTCTGCTCCCTTCTGAAGTCTAAAGAAGTGGCTGGTCCCACTTCTCCCTCTTTTCGGGCTAACTTAGGCTCCCTTCTAACTCCTTTGGAGCAGCTGCCTAGTAAACGTGCTGTACAGCAGTGGAGAGGGAGTAATCATGAGCACAGGGCTGGATCCCTACTCTTAGAAAGCTTGCCATGGGTGCTTTAACATTCACTGATAGACAGGAGCAAGGGCAGTTTTGAGGGACTTTATTCCTAAAGTAGGTAGGAAAATATAGTCTACATGGAGCGTAATTGGTCTGACATTCTCCAGGCCTGAGGGGTGTCACAGAAATGGTTTGGAAGGGTGCACTTTGTTTGAACTGTTGGATCTGCCATATGGATGTACAGTCTTTATTATTAATTTATCTTGCCAGTTTCAGTCAATGGCTCTATAACACTAATGGAGCTGCTATAAGTACTTCACCGAGTGGCTAACTTTAGTACATTTTGTGCTGGGACAAAAGTCCTTTGCTGTTCTGTGTGAGCCAGACTCTTCTCCCATACAAGGTATAAAACTCTGGTGGTTTAAAAAAAAAATTTGTCATTCTGATTGGGTAGCATAGGCTTGTGGAGACTGTGAAGGTGAGCTGTGTTTTAAAATATCTTACCTAAAGCATGTGAATTATCAGCCTTTTTAAACATCACTTCTCACCAAGTGTAGACAAGGCACTGATGATTAAAAACATAATCGCTGGTTATGGAGAGCAGCTAGCACAAATTTCAAACACTACTCAGTGCCAGTATTCAGAAGCATGCTAGGGAAATGTGGTCTAGACAGATTTACTATAAAGTGGGTGCACGACTGGTTGAAAAACTGGACTGAGAAAATAGCTATCAAGGGTTTGCTGTCAAACAGGGAGGGTGTGTCTACACTGGCCGCTTGAATTTGCACAAGAGCACTGACTTTGTAATGTACAAAATCAGTGCTTCTTGCACAAATACTTTCATGCTCCCGCTCGGAAAAAAGCCCTCTTGCGCAAGAATACTTGCTCAAAAGAGCCAATGTAGACAGGGAAGAACTGTTTTGCGCAAAAAAGCCCCGATGGCTAAAATGGCGATCGGGGATTTCTTGCGCAAAATCGCATCTAGACTGGCCACGGATGCTTTTGCGCAAAAGCATCTGTGCCAATCTAGATGCTCTTTTGCGGAAATATTTTTAACGGAAAAACTTTTTCATTAAAAGTATTTCCGCAAAATCATGCCAGTCTAGACGTAGCCGGAGGGTATTTCAAGTGAAGTCCTGCAGGGGTCAGTGCTGTGTTCAGTGCTATTCAGTGTTTTCGTTAAAGATTTGGATAATGGAGTGGAGAATATGCTTATAGCATTTGTGGATGGCACTAAGCCAGGAGGAGTTGCAAGCACTTTGGAGGGCAGGATTAGAATTCAAAATGACCTTGACAAAGTGGAGAATTGGTCTGGATTCAACAAAAACAAAATTCAAGACTGATAAATACAAAGCACTAAATACAATTGGAAAGGAAAATCAAATGCATAACTTCAAAACAGGGACTAACTGGCTAGGTGTCAGAGAATACTGCTGAAAAGGATCATTCTAGGAGCTATAGTGGAACACACATAGAATATGAACAAGGGGTTGCAGTGTGTAATATCACTCTGGGGTGTACTGTGTCATATGTAAAATCTGGGAGGTAAATGACTCACTCTTCTCAGCCCTGGTGAGGCACCAGGGGGTATACTGTGTGCAGTGTTGGGCTTACTACTCTAGGAAAGATGTGAACAAATTGGAAAAAGCCCAGAGGAAAGCAACAAAAAACAATAAAAGGGTTAGAAAATCTGGCTTAACCTGGCAATTGTAGGACCTGTGCCAGTCTCCTTGCCTCTAACAACTACATTTTTATATCCAAAGCTAAGAATGAGACACTTCCAGCTCACTTAATTAGCTTCCTTAGCACCAGTCCTACAATTAACAGGTGCTACCCCTCTACCCCTCCACGTTATAAATACCGTGGCTCTGATATTTCCGCTCCAGCTCATCTGATGAAGGGAGTTTTACCCAGAAAAGCTCATGATTCTATATATTCTTGCTAGTTTCTAAGGTGCCACAAGGCTACTTGATTTGAAAGTTACAGACTAACATGGCTACTGCTCTGAGCCTATAAGGAGAGTTAAGCTCTGGAGTAGGTTATCAAGGGAATTTGTGGAATCCCTGTTACTGATGGCTTTTAGCAACAGGTTAGGCAAACACCTGTCAGGGATCATCTAGGTTTACTGGGTCCAGCCTTATTTACTGGGATGGAGTAGATAATCTCTGGAGGTCCCTTCCATCCACACATTCCTATGATTCTGCGATTTCATAATTATGCATGATCACGTTTTTCCTGTGTTGGATTCAGAGGCAACACTAGTGTCTACGTGGGATGGTGAGGCAGCCAAGTGAAAAAAGGATAATGTGACAATAAATTGAATTGAGTTACTGCAGGGGTCACCAGTTAGCCCTCTGAGCACTACAGTGCACTTATCTCCTCATGTGACTTTGCAGGAGCTGGAGCGTCTTAACCAGGTGCTAGAGGCAGAGAAACAGCAGTTTGAAGAAGTGGTGCAGGAGCTACGGCTGGAACAAGAGCAGATCAAACGGTAATGAAGCCGGGCTGGGAAGAAAACCAGGTGGGCGCCGAGACAGCTAGCACTCTCATGGCAGGAGAGAAGCAATCTCCATTTCGCTTACCAATCCGGACCCAAACAACCTTTTTAGAGCAGTGTAAATAGGATGGGAAGGTGATCACTCCATACGCTCCAAGGGCTTGGCAATAAGCACACAACTGGGTGCGTATTGCAGATTAGGGCAATTTTTCTGCCTCTCAGGTCCAAAAGCTTCTGGCTAGTTATGGTACGGGAGCATTTGTACGCTGTTGGCACACGTGTGCCACAATACCAGACACTAGCAGTCACTGTGCCACAATTGCACTGAAGTCAATGGAGTGACGCTGTGGATGGATTTGGACCCTCAGGGCCTAGAATTTGTGATGCACATATGCCCATGTGCAGCCATTAAAGTCGACTGAAAGAGGCTCTCGCCATACCAGCCAAGGTACCCTAGCCGGCCACCCAAGCCGAGGGGAAGGAATGCGTCCTCCGCTTTTTGTAAAGGAAGAGAGTTCTGAGCATCTCCCTCCAGCTCAGTCTTAAGTTAGCTTGTGCCTGGCATTTCTGATTCTTGACAGCTCCCCTTCCAAATCAGTACTGGAGCATCCTATGGTAATGGCCACCTCTACAGTCTCCGGTAGTGAGCGTGGGGTTACAATCCCCACCACAACATGCACTATTGTTGCCTTTTAGGGAGCTGGAACTGACAGCCCAGTCCCTCAAAGGAGTGGAGGAAGAAAAGAAGGAGCTGCAAAGCCTGACAAAGTCCTTACAAAAAACACTGGAGGTGAGTGACAGATTTTCCCCTTCGTGGTAACAACCTTTGGGGGAAAGTTCTATGGAACTAACCAGGGATTAAACCAATAATGCCCTGTAGAAATTACTTTAAAAGCCTATAGAGTTCGATGGAGAATCAGATCCATCCTAGAGAACTCTGTAGCTAGGATAAATGGGTAAAATCTCCTCCATGTTGAGATCTCTTCAGGACAGGGCTGGAGTTGTCAGGGTCCAGAAGTCAGATGTAGCTCCCTGATTTTCAAATGGCTACTTCCCTGGTCTAAATTACAACAACCTGGTGACAGCTCTAATGTAAAACTGCATATGGTCCCTGAGGAATCTTACACCAGCAGAGAACGTGGCACAGGAACTCCATTCACCCCTCTTCCCTCCACTATTCCAATCCCCATGTCAGGGTGACTCTTCTAGCTTTATACCCTCTGAGAAATCCCTTAGTGCCTGGGTGCAGTAGCACCCAGAATATGGCCTATTATTTTCCATTGAACTCTGTAGGATAGTCCAAAAACCCCAGGGAAAGGCTCTCATTCTGTATTATTGTCTGTGGGTTCTTAGAGACATGAGCATAGAACCATGCTAGTTTAATTTCTTTTTTGTTTTGTAGAACTTTCCCATAATGCAGATCCTCTCTCATGCTCTTGTTCTTCAGTTTTGTTGTTTTTTTGCTAGGTGGTTTGAGCTTCTGTTTGAGCAGTGGGCAAAAACCAGGCATTGAAATTCCTGCCTGGTTCAGGCTTTTGTCAGGGCTGTTCCCCACTCTGGCACTAAAAGTGCAGGAGGTGGGGGCCCACATGAGACCTTAAAAATACCTTGCTTTTATAGGCTTCTGCTTACAAAAACTCCCCAGAGTCACAGATTCACTGATATTGGGAGATAGGCTGCCACCATCAAGTGTTCAACTCTTTCTTTTAAAACCCAGGAAGACTCACTTGAACTTCTTCCAGAAGAGCACCCCAAGCTCTTTTACCACAAGAGAGCTTGAAAAAGAAAAAAAGCCCTGTAGTCTCTAGTAGCTGATCTCTCAGCCCAGGCAAGCATACACACAGACCCGTCACCTTCCAGGGCACAAGAATCAAATCATCACCTTTAAAAAGGTGATTTTATTAATAAAACAAAAAGATATACTTGAAAAAGCCTACTTGCTTGCTAGTGTTACAAAGCAACTAAGAAAAGAACTGATCAAAACTCAAAGAAACAGTCTCTTCAGGCTGCAACGTAGGTACGGTGAATGGGGGAGAGAGGCACATGGATTTCACACAGAGAAGTTTAACCAAAGAGCAAAATAAAGAAAAATACCCTGATAGCAACTGAACATACATTTCTCTAGCTACTCACGATCTGTGCTGATCTGTAATTCAAGGCCCAGTCCATTCCCATGCCCAGCATTTCTGGTAGGTATGGTAATTCCATTTGATTACTTCATCTTACTTCCTCTAGCTAACTTAGAACACTCACACAAAGAGAGCAGGCAGGTCACCTCAATTCAGATTTCAGCACTGTATCCCATTGGTTCTCCTGGCACCCTGCCAACCCCCTTAGCTACCAGTAGTTTAACCCTTTAGTTACCAAGTGCTGGCTAGCACCTCTCCTTGCATCACAGCTTCAAAGGAGGGTTTGAGCATCGGGCCATGGTTCAGGTCACTCATTATGCCTATCCTAGTCTGTTCTGCCATTGTTGCAGGTCCTGGTATGACAGCATTTGAGAGTGACAGTGTCAAGGAAGGAATGGTTCTGTCCTGGCCAGTCAGTGGGTTGAGCAGGACAGAGGAAAACTACATCATGTGTCCTCCCCCTGTAGCTGATAGCACCATAGGGATTCATCAGCAGGCAAAGGGAGACCTCTCTGGTACATAGGGGAAGCAGGGGTGCAGAGAGGCCTGAAAGGAAGAGGAGGAAGAGCCGTGAGACTGTACAGTATTAGAGGTGAAAGGAGGAAGCAAAGTTCCCCTTTCCTAGAGCACCCTCTGCTGATTGACCTTGTGCCAGCATTGGCAGATTCCTATAGAGAAGTCCCAGATGATGGCCCATCTGTCTACATAAAGAGAGAAGACAAAGGAGGCGATTGCTCCCAGGATTGCAGGAGGAAAGGGGGATCCAAGGTTTAAGTAGGTGGAGGAAAAGAGCGGCAATAAAGAGCCATCTAGGAAGATGCCTAGCCACAGGAACACCAATGTCAGATCATCGATGGCCTGGCTAGTAATGATGTGCTTTGTTCCTCCTCTGTCCCAAGGAGCTCTCAGAGGAAAAGCAGAGAACTCTGGAGATGCTGGAGGAGAATGAGAGCCAGCTTCAGCCCCTGGCCAATGCTAGCAAGCAGCCAAACCCCAGCGGGGGTCTGCACAGCAACCTGCAGCAGATTGAGGAGAAGATGCACCAGCTGCTGGAGGAGAAAGTCTTGGCAGAGAGAAGGTAAGATGGGGAAAGTAGTGTAGAGTCCCAGAGGAGGAAGGACGTAGTGTTACTCCTTGCAGAGAAAATGTGGTATTGGGAGGGAGCTACCATTACTCGGCAGGAAGGTCATGGTAAAGAGGCGACTGTCAGGGGTTACGCCCCAGACGGGGTTTGCGGCCCCCTTCTCCGGGCCCGTGTTTCCCTCCGGACCCTTTTCCCTGGGCATCTACAGTATCCCAAAGTCCCCGAAAGTCTCGGCCCCTCTCTCAGGGCAACAAGTCCTGGCCCTTCGATCAGGGCAAATATGGTACCTGCGGCCTAGCTCTGGCCAAAGCCTCTCTCAACCGGTGTGTTTGCCCCGGTTGCGGAAAGGGGATGGTAGGGGGACCCGGGCCCTCCTCTCCACTGGGTCCCAGCCCAGGGCCCTGTAGTCAGGGGTTCCTACTCCTGCCTGCTCGGTGGGGGATCCAGCCGATACACACCGAGCAGGGTTTGCAAGTCCTTGCCCTGGGCTGCTTCCTACCACTCTGGCTCGGACTCCAGCTGCAGCAGGAACACTGGGGCTGCAGCCTGGGCCCTCCTACTCTCAGGCTGCCCCCTCCCTTGCCGCACTCCCTCTTCCTTTATATACTGGCTTTGCTGGGAGCATGACCAGCAGGGCTGGAAGGGTGGGGCCCTCTCAGCCAGCTGGGCCTGGGCTACTCCCAGCCCTGCAGTGCGGGGCCTGCTCGCCCCGTCACAGCGACACTAAAATACCATCCCAGACTTAGAACTGTCAACATTTTTAAAGCATTTTCTCCGTTTTCATGAACACAGGCTAATTTTCTGGTGGCCAGCAGCCTTCCACAGAGTTGTTAGATCTCCCATCCTTTCCCCTCACAGATGTGGGCTGAGGAGGAGGACAGATGGTGCCGATTGCCAGGCAGATTCAAATTCATTCTGGTCAGTGTGACCATCTGTGGCTGTGCTGTCTGGATGCCAGTGTGAAATGAGCTACTTGGCCTTTCTAACTCCCTGTGTTCATCTGGCAGACACTTGACAGTCTGAGCAGAGAGGCCAAGGGTTGAATGGGCCATGGAAGATGAATTCTTTTCTGACTCCGTGCTGCTTTCTGGTCAGGAATGAGGCACATTAGCCCAACAATAGGCCTGGATCACATGCTGCTGATGGACTTGTTCTGTGGATAGAGAACTTCACCCTCCCTCCCACACGCTGCCACTCCAGGATCATTACAGTGACCTGTTTCAAAAATGTAGAGAAAGTGCCAGGGGAACTGCCCCCAGTGAATATGTGCAACTAAAACTGAGGCCAACTGGACTTGCAAGAGCAGCTCTGGTCTTTCTGACTCATCAAAGCAGCTTCCAGCCAAGGCCTGCTTTGCTTTGCTTTGCTTTGCTTTCTGAGAGTTACCATGGCCAGGGAGGGGCCTCTTTTAATGCTTCTTTGTTGTGCTGTGTGGCAGGATGAAGGAGAATGAGGAGCGCTCCCGAGCCTTGGAGGAGGAGCGGGAATTCTACTCTTCTCAGTCGCAGGCGCTGCAGAACTCACTCTCAGAGCTGACTGCAGAGAAACAGCAGACAGAGAGAGACCTCAAGGTACTGAGCACATTGCTTGCTCAATCCACCCTGGCTTTGGAGCCAGCAGCCTCTCTCCTCCTCCCCTCTCTGCTGCAGCTGGAGACTTCTTCAGGGACCTTAAAGTGTGTTGTAGTTTTTCTTTGGAGGCCTGAGATGGGAATTGGGAAAGCTTTGGGGCCTGCACTTGGTCAGATAAATGCTTTAGGAACACTGTTAACCCAACTCAGTCTCTGGAGAACCACCAAATCTCCATGATCAGCCATTCTGCTTTAGAGGCAAAAAAGCATGAGTGGATAGAGTGGAGACTTTTACTACATCTTTAGATCAACAGGTTTAGGCTCTGATGGGGCACCCAGATAAAGTCCACTGAGTAGGGTCATCCTCTGAGAGATTGGCCTGCCGCTTCAACCAAATGTTCTTATCTAGGGATTCCTGGACACTCCAGATGTTCTCAGCTGTCATAGTGCTGCATAGAGAGATAGGGTCCTCAACCAGCCAAGACCCACATGTTGTAGGTATTTACAGATCAATACCAGAGCTGAATGGGATCAGTGAGGCTTATAGGACCTCACCTGCTGACATGACTGGGCTGCAGTCTGCACCAAATTATTCCTATGAAGAGTCTTGGCTGTCCCATGTCAAACTCACATCAATAAGTGGACTTACATGTTGCACATTGAGAACCTTTTGTCTGTTAGATCACTACACACTTCCACTCAGAAAAGCAGGATACACTCCCCTGATAGAGTGTCTGATTTTAGCCAAAGGGCAAAAGAAAATGGATTTCCACCTCTCTTCTCATGTGTGGTTCAGTCTGAATGTTTTTTACCTTTGAGTCAGTAATATTTAGCTAGAAATGTCTCAAGGACAGGGTTTTTTCCCTCCATGAGATTCTGTATATTTCTTAGTGGTAGAAATGTAACCGTGTTAGTCTGGTGCAGCTGAAACAAAAAACAGGACTGTGTAGCACTTTAAAGACTAACAAGATGGTTTAATAGGTGATGAGCTTTCGTGGGCCAGACCCACTTCCTTTGATCTGAGGAAGTGGGTCTGGCCCACAAAAGCTCATCACCTATTAAACCATCTTGTTAGTCTTTAAAGTGCTACACAGTCCTGTTTTTTGTTTCAGCTGCACCAGACTAACACGGTTACATTTCTACCACTAAGAAATATACAGAATCTCATGGAGGGAAAAAACCCTGTCCTTGAGACATTTCTAGCTTTCTTGTTTTTGTTCCACTATCAATACCTGCTCAACCCACCTTTCTTATGGACCTGAAATACCTCTGATTCCAAGCAGAACCTACAGTGGTGAGGGCAGCTGTGAAATGAGAAAGTTGGTAACAGAGTGTTACCCAAACACTGCTGATTCTCAAGGAGGGGTTCAATTTGAGGAGCTAACGAACAGCTTACATGGTTTCTATCTACACTGGCTCTCCCTGTCCTTATCTCTTCATATCCAATACCACTCTCAGCTTAGAATTCCTTATAACTCCTGCATCAGCAGCAGTATTACTGCTGTGTTGAATGGTTTCTCGGAGTGGCTGATTTCCTTCTATCCTCAGGCTGAGATGAAGGTGCGTATGGATCTGGAGAAAAGACTGAGGGAGGCTGAGGAAGCGCTACAGAGCTTGGAGCAAGGCTTAAATTCTCTGGATCGCAACCAAGAGAAGGAGGAGAAAATGAAAACCGATGTCAGCAATTTGAAAAGTAAGTCATCCGTGTTCCAACCCACTCTGCTGGTGAATACACTTCAGGGAAGTGACCATGTTCACTAAGCCCTGTGTCCCCAGACATTGAAGGCTAAGCAAGGTGGTGTGCAGTGAGCTCTCAAAAAGTTTGCACTCTGACAGCACCTGCCCCGTGCACTTTGCAAGCCTGGGTAAGCCTTACACTCGTGCGAGGAAGGACAATGTTATTCTTCCTCTTCCTCGTTTTGCAGATTTAAAAACCAAGGCATAGAGAGAGAAAGTCACTTGTCCTAGGTCATACAGGAAACCTGCAGCAGATCAGGGAACAAAACTGAATGGAACTCAGCATCTCAGGCCTGTGATTCCACCACCCTACAGTCCTTCCTCTGGTCCTTTTGTGTTTGGACAGCAGCCGCCGAAGGAGCAGTCAGGTTGCTGCCATCACAGTTTGGTTGGTGCTCAGTGTGGGACTCCGTATCGAATCAGTGTCTCAGTCTGGCATTACGGGGTGTTGTGCTGATGGAAGCACAATCTTTGAGATGAGACAGAAAGCCCAGTGCCTGAGCGTGTATCACGGAAGTTCCAATCATGCTTTCAACAAGAGCTAAGGGGATTGACTCTAGGGTCCTGGATGATTCAGCATTGGGTAACTATCCCTTCCTCAGATCCCTTGAAGCTCACATTGGATGCAGTATTCTTCACTTCCTGGCCTAAAATGTAGAATAGTGTTGCTGTGAGCTGTTAAAGACCTGCCAGGCTTCACTTGTGCTGGGGGCATGAAGTAGACCTGTGTAGAGACAGTGTAAAGTCCTTTGGGATCCCGAATGTGAGATGCACCATAGGAATATAAGTGATTTTCATTCCGTCCATTTTACCTGAACCCCCAGTAGATTCTAAAGTAGCGGCAAAACAAAGGGCAAGATTTTCCACTGCATTGCTCCAGCACACGGGCTGGCTGAACTGCACTGGAGACGGAAACAGGCCCTGGCTCACTGCACAGCTGGCTCCCCCACCACCTGTCTCCCATACTCCTCCTCTTCCTCCCTTGCTGTTCATGGCAGAGACCTGTGACTTGGGTTCCCCAGACATATCCACAGTGCTGTTGGGGATGGCGGTGGGCTCTCTGCTGGGGATGCCATGTAGTTCTTTGTAAAAACTGCAGGTCTGTGGCTTCACACCCAGTTGATTTTGTGCCAGCCTGGCCTTCTGATCTGATGCCTGCTGCAGCTCCTTGGCTGATAGGGGGCACTGCAGCTGATTGATCCCTTTAGTACCTGTTCTCCTACATCCCCTGAGCAATTTGCTCATAGATGTCCATGTTGTTATGGCTGGTTGGGATCTGTGCCTGCACAGCATCTTCTCCCCATAGGCCCAAGAGATCCAATATCTCCTATCTACTCGAGGCATAAGAAGAGCCATATGGGTCAGACCAAAGGTTCATCTAGCCCAGTAGACAGTGGCCAATGCCAGGTGCCCAAGAGGGAATGAACAGAACAGGTAACTATCAAGTGAACCATCTCGTGTCGCCCATTCCCAGATTCCAATAAACAGAGACTAGGGACACCATTCTTGCCCATTCCAGCTAATAGCCATCAATGAATCTGTCCTCCATGAATTTATCTAGCCCTTTTTTGAACCATGTTAATAGTCTTGGCCTTCACAACATCCTCTGACAAGGAGTTGACTGTGTGTGGTTTTAAGAAATACATCCTTTTGTTTGTTTTAAACTTACTACCTTAATTTCATTTGGTGACCCGTAGTCATTGTGGGCACATCTACACAGCAAGGCTTAAACTCATAGTCATTGAGGGCACATCTACACAGCAAGGCTTAAACTCAAAATAAGCTCTGCAACTTGAGCTACACTAATTGCATAGTTAAGTCGAAATAGCTTATTTCGACTTTTGGCGCTGTCTACACAGCGGTTATTTTGAAATAGAGCACTCTTCTCCCGACTTCCCTTACTCCTCATGAAATGAGGTTTACGGAAGTCAGTAAGAAGCCTGTTATTTCAAATGTATTTTGAAATAATGGGCTTGCTGTGTAGATGCGCATTACGTTATTCTGAAATAACGCTGCTGTGTAGATATAGCCAGTGTTATATGAAAGAGTAAACTTGGCAGCAATGTGTCTAGAGTGTGGAGACAGCATAGTCAGTTGGGCAGTTGCACACAACAATGGAGAACTGTTACAGTGCTCACCAAACTGGAAAAAGAATTTAAAACATTTGCCGGGCTTCAAAAGTAAACGGGGACTGCTGGTCTCTGGAATGCTGATCAGCAAAGTCCACAAAAGTGGCCAGCATGGTCAGTGTGGGACATTGTGGGTCAGCTGCTGGAGGACAGTTAACCGTTGACATAAGTAGCTCAGGGTCTCTACTTGCACAGTGTCAAGTGGAGTACATTGCCCACGGCTCTACATAGCTCAAGTAGGCAGTATTACTCCGTTGACAGTGGGAGGCCAACTGGAGTGTAGATTCATAAACAACCAGGTCAATATAAGCTGCCTTGTGTCATCCTAACTTTGTAGTGTAGACCAGGCCTTAGTAAATGGAAAATCAGGTCCACGATCTACATTGTCAGCACAGAATTTTACCTTGTGTTGAGTTATCTGAACAGAAACCTTTACTCTGGCACAGAGAAGGTGAGTAACTTTTTGCACAGGGGCTAGAACTCCCCCCCACCCCCGCAAAAAAATTAATTTTATGCCCTAGGCTTTACTGGGTCTCCTCTTGAAAGAAGAGTGTAGGTGAATTAAGGGATTATAAAGGTGAGGGGCCAATAGGCCATACCTCAAGCCTGCCCTGCAACCTCCTTCTCACTCCTGTTCTTTCAGACCAGAATCAAGATGTGTTAGCAAAGATATCTGGGGGTCTGTGACTCACGGGGGAGTTGTAGGGGAGACTTGAGGCATGTTTGTGTGGATAGGGAAGGAGTGCTGGGCTGGAATGGCCAAAGATGTAGCTGGCGAGGGCAGAGGAGGTGCTCTGGCATATCCGAGGAAACTGAGTCTAGGGCTGGAACGGAAGGGTATGTGGCAGGTCAGGACATGGGTGCATTGGCAGAACTGGGTGGGCGGGACTGAGGCTGGGACAGCAGTAAATGCTGTAGGTCAGGAAAGAAATACACCAGCAGAACTGCTCAGAAATGTTTGCCTAGCAGGTGTCCACATTGCCATTGTTGTTAATCCCTTCCCTTTCCACAGCTCATCAGGAGAGAGACTTACACATTCTCCTTGTTTGGAAAAATATGGGAACATTTGCAGGACTTCCTCTTTTCCACTTGGGGAACCCCATTGCTGCAGAGCGTTTGAGAAACAAGTAATGCAGCGGCACAGTCCTGCTCTCTGCTTTCACTGAGCTGTGGAATATGGCTGTGCGCACTAGTGGCCACACCTTCCATCTGACTCCATTACTTTGCTGATGTCAGGCTCTGAACCTGACATGTCTAGTAGTGCTTCAAAGTGTCACATTTCTGGAGACATGTGAAGACAGACTTTCTCCTAACTATCGAGCAAAAAAAAGCTAGCTGGCTCCTGGCTATTGACTGTGATGCTGAAATATTCTTATGCAGCTGTAAGAATAACTGAGGGGGAGTAGATGGCTGATGTGGGACTGGTGATAGACTTTTGTGGCTTCATTTCACCCATCTGAATCCAGCACGGATCAACTGAGTCTAGAAGTTGCTGCCGCCCGACAGTGCTTAGAGTGAAAGGTGGGGCGTAAGGGCAGGGGTTGCTAGTGAGTGCAGACCTGGAAAAAGTTTGCTTGAAGTGCACAGGGTCACCAAGGGACACGGTTTAAGCGGTGTTTTACCAAAGCTGATGCTACTAGGTTAGGATGGATGCCCCATTTATTTTCAAACTGCTTTATGCACTGTCCCCTGGCTATGTGGGGGGGTGGTTTGCATGAAGGGCTCCAAGACCAGATCTGAGTGGTGCTACAGAAATGCAAGGTACCAGTATCTAGTCCATCTCCATGGGCAGTGTAGGACTGTTCTGAGCAGGACAATATACCTGGTATCTAGCCTGCCTAAGCGGGACAGGCCCGCTGGGGCCTGTGTTAATATGCAAAGTGCCTCCCTCACTTGGGACCTCTTTCCCCCTCCCCCCAGAGTTCTTTGAGGAGTGCATCCGGACTGCTGAGCTGGAAGCCAAGATGCCTGTGATCATGAAGAACTCTGTGTACCTCCACAAGGCTGCCACCCGCCGGATAAAGAGCTGCCGGCTTCACCGTAGGAGGTCCAGCGCTTCATGGAATGACTGTAAGTGATGGCGGCTGTTCCCCTACTATGCCCTGGGCAGTGGGGGCAGAGGTGGGAGGTTTGGTGGTGGAGCTGAGGAACACGTTCCATAAGGGCTCGGGGCTTCTTGCCCCTGCAGCATCCCCCGCCCCGGAGCTGCAGGCAGAGGAACATCAGGCACCAATTCTCCACCTGAATTCCCTGGCTTTTTGCATCCCTGGCAATGTGGGGGAACCCATCGGTGCCATCGGCTCTCTGGGTGCACACTGGGGCAGCGCACGACTGCCGCTGAGTTGCTTTGAGTGGTTGATCCACAGGAAGCCCCTTTCTGGCTTCCCTGTGCAGACTGGCAGCAGTAAAGCAGGGGAATGTCTTGCCCTCGTTCTTACCCTCTCGGAGGAGAGCAAGCTGGATTTATCCAAGTGCTCTCCCCCGGGTAATTGGGATTTCACTACTTGGCTCTAACTGCTTTGCATTGGTCCTCTGTTTGATCAGTGGTGTCTCCAGCATGGAAATGCTCAGCTGTTTTACTGCTGTTGTTGTTTCAGTGAAACAGTCCCAGTCGTTCATCTTCTCCCAGACAGAAGATGACAACATTGAGGAGCTGAAGGAGGCAGCCAAGAGGCTGAGCCGGGACCAGCACTTTCGGGAAACCCTCTATCAAATCATGATGTCACAAAAAAAATCCACATCTGGGGATGAAAAGTGAATCCTGATCCTTCCCATCATGAAGGGGCTTCAGATCTCCAGCTCATCAGAAGTTAACCCCCTGGGGGATTTGTTCCTGTGAGGGAAAAGGATGGATGCATGCAACAACTGCCCTCCCCTCCAGGGGTGTGGCTTTTAGCTTGCATTTCTGCCAAGTCACCTTGCTTTACTTCAGTCATTTCCATTCGGATGTGTTCTGCCAAAGTACCCTGGGCACTGTTAACATGGATCGCACACTTTTAGCTTAGAGAATGTCTGGTCATTTCTTTACAGTCTAGCTTTGCTGCCAAATGTAGGCATTGTGCATAAACCCCTTTCTTAGCCAATGTCCAGCTAGTTGGGAGGGGGAACAGTCCAATTGATCTGTCTCACCTTCTTTCTCTGCTGCTCCAATCCTTCCCTTGGGATCTGTGCTGTGAAGGGGGATATTCCTTATCATGTTTCCTAGACACTGCAGCTATACCAATGAAGCACGTGCAATGACGTCAAGCCCCGAACAGTCTCTTGATGTAGCTACCTTTAAGCAGGTAATATGCGAGGCTGAAAGTGCCTGCCATTGCCATCCATGCCCAAGACATCAGGGGATTGGGTGAGTCAGGAGAACTCAGCAACAGAGTCTACCACTCTTAATTAACACACAGACTGAGGAGCGTTCGCTTCCTCATTGCCCAGAATAACACCGCCATTGTCAGCTCAGCCATCTACCAGGTTTCAGTTCAGAAACTGGTTTGTATTAGCATCCAAAAACCCAGCTCACTACAGCTGTCCAGGTTGTCGCAGGATGGACACCAGGCATATGTGTTATCAATGGAGGTGCCCGGTGGATAGATCAGGGCTTTCCATTCCCTTCCCTTTCCAGCATGGCCCACAGAATACAGTAATAATAGTACTTAGCATTTGAATATCACTTGGTCTCTGAGGACAGGTCAAGAAGCAATGGGCTTAAATTGCAGCAAGGGAGGTTTAGGTTGGACATTAGTTGAAAAAGTTCCTAACTGTCAGGGTGGTTAAACACTGGAATAAATTGCCTAGGGAGGTTGTGGAATCTCCATCACTGGTGACATTTTAGAGCATGTTAGACAGTCCCCTGTCAGGGATGGTCTAGATGGTGCTTGGTCCTGCCGTGAGGGCTGGGGAATGGACTCAGTGACCTCCTGAGGTCCCTTTCAGTTCTAGTGTTCTATGATTCTATGTGGTAGGTATAATTAATATTCCCATTGTAAAGATTGGGGAACTGAGGCACAGAAGAGTTAAGTGACTCACCGAGGACATGTCTACACAGCAAGGCTAAAGCCTAGGTAAGCTATGCAACTTGAGCTACAGCAATTGCGTGGCTTAAATTGAAATAGCTTAATTTGGCTTTTGGTGCTGTCTACACAGCAGGAAGTCTGAGAAAAAGCACTCTTCCTTTGACTTCCCTTACTCCTCGTACAATGAGGGCTACAGGAGTCAGAGTAAGCAGCCCTCCAGCTCGACATTATTTTGATATTATGTTGAAATAACTGCTTGTAGTGTAGATGTGGACTATGTTATTTTGGAATAACATCAGTTATTCCGAACTAACACTGCTGGGTAGACAGAGGCCCAGGGTCTTAGCTTTAAAGTACCTGCTCGTTTGCTCTTTCTGGAAGGCCACTTTTTCTGTCTATGAAGTGTGATGAATAGGTAGGCAGCAGTAGTGAGGCTAGAACAAGCCTTGTGCTGTCTCACTGAATATGGTGCTCGTTGAGCTCGAAGCGTAGTTTTGCATGTTACACAGAACTCTCCCCACGCTGCAGGGCCAAACAATGATCACCTGTGCAATAAGCAGAAAATGTATGGAGAGGTCATGGAGTTCCTGCCTCCTTGTATGTGTTTGTGCAGGCAGTGGCAGGCATCCTTCAGCCAGGCAATGGGCTCTGCCCAGTGATTTCACTGTCCAACATCAAAGGCATAAAATAGCATCATCAGATAGGTGACCTTGTCAAAATGCCTCCTTAACAGTTTTGATCCTTTTGTGTTTTCAGCTCCTATTTGCTCTGCAAAGCCAATCATGGGGGTTAGAACTCTGGTTGCTGGGGGGGGAGGGCTACAGCACCCCCTGACTTGTAGTGGCTTCTATTGTACACAAAGTGTCCAGTTTGGTTCAATGGCTCTCAGCACCCAACCATCTGCCTGCCAATATAAAAATTGTTTCAGCACCGCCAGAGCCAATACAGCTATGGGAGAGCAAGCTGGAGTCTATTCTTCCTTGCACCTTCCTGACCAAAACACCGTTTAATTTTCAACTGTAGACTCTTTGTCGCTTGATGATGTAAGACACATCCAGATCCCTGTGAGGAAAAAAATCAGCTTTTGATTTGTTACCATGACACCTTTGTTCTGCAGCCATTTGGCAGCAATAAATATTGAAATCCACAATATCAGTTATACAGAGCTACTACTTTCAGGATACAGCACACTGGTTACATAAGAAATAATATAGCATCGTTAAAGAGGATGTTTGTATAGTCTTTATGTGAAATTGCAGTATTGATCATCACTTCTCCCATATGAAAAATCAATCAAATCGTTGTAGCAGTCTTCAGTAATTTCTAGAGTGAAGTGAGTGTGAGTTCTAAAATGCCTATTGTGGCTGGAGTCATTATCCCTGTCTGTGGTAATTGCTGCTCCTAGAAGTGGCTCATATGTCCCTGCAGCCCCCGAGAGAGACAGGGCAGGGGGTCTCTACACGCTGTCCTTACCTGCAGATACCACTCCTGCAGCTCCCGTTGATCAGTAATGGGGAACGATGGCCAGTAGAAGCTGTGGGCTCAATGCCTGTAGATGAGAGGCAGCACATGGGGCCATGGAGCCGTTGATGGACATGCCAGCTGCTTACAGGAATGGTGCAGGGCCAGGGCAGGAGTAAGCCTGCCTTAACTCCACTGCTTCACCACCCAGGAGCCATCTCAGTTAAAGGGTGCCCAGCCAGTGTCTGCTTCCTGAACCCCTGGCCCAGCCCTGAACCTCCTCCTGCTCCAGACATGACTCCCCCTACACACAAACTCCTTCCCAGAGCTTCTGTCCTGTACCCCACCCTGGGTTAAGCCCAGAGCTTCTCCCACACTCCAAATCCCTTGGCCCAAGACCAGAGCCTGCACCCCAACCTCCTATCCCAGCCTGGTGAAAGTGCTTGAGGAAGAGGAAGGAGGATAGAATGAGCAGGATGAGACCTTGGAGAAGGGGTGGACTAGGGGCGAAGCCTCAAAGAAGGGGTGGGAAGGAAGGGAAGGGTATTTGGGTTTTGAGGTAGATCTGACATTGTACTTAAATTAAAAAAGTGATCTTGTGGTTAAAAAGGTTGGAGACCACTGCCCTAGGGAGCTTGTATAGTGGTTACTCCTGAAAGCATGCAGCCACCTGCAGGCCAAAGTCAGTATTAGTACAACAATGCACTGGGCAGCATGCTAAGGCTCTCTCTTTCTAAGTCCCACTTAATAGCTACGTCTCACAGATGCCCTTGTTATTACAGCTGAGTTTTCAGATGCTGCACAGGACCACGAGAAGGCGGGAAAATTAGAAAAAGCAGGTGCAGACACCTAAAGCAGAGCCCTTGTGCAGCAAGGTTTAGGAGCAGATTATCTGAGGAGATGAAGTGTATTTCCAATGGGACGGCAAAGCATTTCATTTCAGAAAAAGCCACCACACTCAGCTTACCCTCCATCTCCCATAGCACGTTATTTCATGGCGAGAGAACACAATGCTGTGGCTTCATGCACTACGAATGATAACTAAAAGCATGAATAAGGCAAACTCCCTGATGCCCAAAGTGCCTCTGATTGTGAATTAGTGTGTCTGTTAAGGATACCCTATCTTGCCTCACACCACACATATATACTAATAGGCAAAAGAAAGATCTTGTGCTCTGCAAGCAAACTTGAGTGTTTCTTGGTCAGGGTGTTCTGAGAGAGCTGGATTTCTCAGCTATCAAATAAGAACATAAAGATTAAAACCCCAGTGTCCAATCCCAGTTGCTTAAGAAAAGGATATGAAACTGGATTACTAAATGGTTACATGACAGGAAACAAAGAGTAGGAATGAATGCCGGTTTTCAGAATGGAGAGCAGTAAATATTTGTGTCCCCTAGGGGGTCTTTTCAAGGACCAGTTCTGTTCAACATATTCATAAAATGGAGTTAACAGGGAAGTGCAAAGTTTGTAGATGATACAAAATTCCTCAGGATAGTTAAGTCCAAAGCAGACTGAGAAGAATTACTAAGGGACCTCACAAAAGTGGGAGATTGGGCAACAAAATCACTGATGAAATTCAATGTTGACAAATGGAAAGTAATGCATATTGGAAAACATAATCCCAAATATACATATAGGCTACGTCTAGACTGGCATGATTTTCCGCAAATGCTTTTAACAGAAAAGTTTTTCCGTTAAAAGCATTTGTGGAAAAGAGCATCTAGATTGGCATAGACGCTTTTCTGCAAAGCACTTTTTGAGGGAAAGCGTCCGTGCCAATATAGATGCGGTTTTGCGCAAGAAAGCCCCGATCACCATTTTCACGATCAGGGCTTTTTTGCGCAAAACAATACCACGTTGTCTACACTGGCCCTCTTGCGCAAAAGCATGTGCGCAAGAGGGCTTTTGCCCGAATGGGAGCAGCATAGTATTTCCGCAAGAACACTGACAATCTTACATGAGATCGTCAGTTTTCTTGCGGAAATTCAAGCAGCCAGTGTAGACAGCTGGCAAGTTTTTCCGCAAAAGCAGCTGCTTTTGCCGAAAAACTTGCCAGTCTAGATGCAGCCATAGAATGATGGGATCTAAATACGTTATCACTCAAAAAAAAGAGATCTTGGAGTCATTGTGGACAGCTTTCTGAAAACATCCACTCAATGCGCAGTGGTAATCAAACAAGTTAACAGAATTCTGAGAATCATTAGGAGAGGGATAGCTAATAAGACAGAACATATCATATTGTCTCTATATTAATCCATGGTACACCCACATTTTTAATACTGCACCTCATCTCAAAAAAGATCTATTGGAATTGGAAAAGGGCAACAAAAATGATTAGTTTCCATAGACAAAATTAATAAAACCAGGAATTTTCAGCTTCGAAAAGAAATGGCTAATAGGCGATATGATAGCGGTCTATAAAATCATGACTGATGTGGAG